TTTCATTCTCCTCATCCACCTGCACAATCTCACCTCCTAACACAAATAGGAAGTTCCCAACAACACATATTCCCTGGTGCTGAACATTATATGGTAAGGATGTTGAGAGTGGCTGGAATTTCTTGCTACGGGGTTCGTAGGTTAAGATCTGATTCTGCGGTCTGTTTGCTTCTGATCCTCCTCCCACCAAAACAATCTTGCTGTTTGTGGCTCTGAGGCTGGTGTGGACACTTTGTAGCAGAGGTTGTAGGGGACCCTGAAGGTGGTAGTTAAATGCTTTCTGCACTACGCTGCACATGAAGGGTGTACTTAGAGCTGGTTTAAGTGCACTAAGTTGCGACAGTTCTTCAGGTGGCACCAAACCAAATCGGATCCGACTGAGCAGTGCATTACTTTGCAGAGGCGATTGTGGGTTGCACTCTAGCCATTCCAAAACCACCTGTAGAAGATCTGACTCCTTTACTCCTGGCATATCTTCAGCTACAAGGACCTCCTGCAGAGATTCAAGGTTTAACTCCATTAGCTCAGCTTTGTACTGCTCGCTTGCAAGAATTCTGCACATGTTACTGGCAATGAAAGCGTTACTATCCTTGAATGCTTCTGAAAGGCCATACCGAGCTGCTATGTTAGCAAAAAAGCAGCAGTTGTCGGGAGTAATGCTTTCTGAGATGTACTGAGTGCAAAGATCCACCGCATGGGAAATTTGTAGATAGCAGGCAGCCTGTAGGGTGACCTCCAAAGTGGATGGTGACAATGAGATCCAAGAGGTGTAGATGAAGTCCAGAATCTGCTCCAGGCCCAGAGATGACAGAGCTGGCAAGCTGATAGTGCGGGCACCAGATTCTAGAGTGTAGTCCTGGAAAAGGGACCAGAAATAATCACTGGAACAGGCTAACAACGTGCGATGAGCAGGGAACTCCACTCCTTCCGCATCCAAAACAACATCACACATTCGACCTTCCAACCGCAAGCTCTGGTACCGAGACAGAACACCTTCTCCATGACTGTCGCTGAGCATCAGGTAATAATTCATTACTAGAGAGCGAGATAAGGGAGTAAGCGAGTAAGGACTGAAAGAAAGTCTGAGGAAGAAAACAAATGGAAAGAAAAGAATGCAGGAATGAGGCAGAGATGGCTAGGTGGTCCTGCTCATGCAAAAGTCATCAGGTTTAAAGAAGACCGAAGGGATCAGTACACCAGTCGTGTCTGTTGGGATGTGGTCCATGATTTCTGCAAGCATCAAATGAAAAGGGGAGGGTCAACTATTGCTCTTCCACCCAGTGGGCAGCCCCCAAACCTCTCAACTAAACAAGATGGGCATGCACTTTCTGCCAAATCTCTGAATGGGAGGGTGAAATGGATGGTCAGACATTTTGGGGCTGCAGGGGGTAAACACAACCTGAATCTAGCTGCCCTTTTCTTTTAGTAAGTCTGGAACATCGAGAGCGGGAGGCGTCATACCAGGGGTTTATTATGATATGCAGATCTGAAGTCATCCCTTGGTAAATAAAGCGGTTAGTCAGCACTGTGGATTTCTGTCTGTCGCCACCAGAAGCCATATCTCACCAAGGTTACAGGAATAGAAACTCAGAGTTGATCAGAAGGACAGTCTGACCAAAAAAAAAAGAAAGACAGACAGAGAAATGATAGAGTGAGAATGCCGCCTAGAGGACAATGAGAGGACAGTGGGATATTGTTCAGTCAGGAAGGCACAATGACAAAAAAAAGTTTGTTGACATTGTATGAGTGAAACCACAGAGATTGTTTATGTTGGCTAGACTACTGATGATTGAGGCTGATTTATAGACATGTGTTTGTGTGTCAGTGTGATCCAACAGGATGCATCCCAACCTCGTGAACATTGTACCCTTCATTCTCCCTGAATAGCTGCTGGCTCTAAGCTGGGATGGGGCAGCATTAGGCCAGGTTGCATCGAGAGTATTAAGTATAAGAGCGAGGGGTGATTATGATAGAGCTTCTGGTTACATTCTCACACCCTCTTCACATGATCACACATGATGATTCTCCACTGTCTAGAGCATTTGGTATACAATACACCTACGAGGTAATTGGCAACTTGAGTTACTTGTGAACATTCTAGGACTCAAGTGGAACTTGCAACAAGGTTCATGATGAGTCATTGGTGGGGTGGGGTGGGTAAGGGTCAGTACTTGTGTCTCAAGGAAGTGATTTTGAAGACACACAGTGTAAAGCCACACAGTAAGCTCACTTTACATCCGTTTGATTTTTTTAAATTAAAAATTTCCTTTTTGGGGACTGCATGTCTTTCCACTTTGCCTTGTTGTGCATCAGTGGATATATTTAAACACAAGTTACATCTGCAGTGGTTCAAATTAAATGCACTAATTATGCAGCACTTTTTATATTACATCAACAAAACCAGACTCCACTTCTTTGCATGCTTGGAGATCTTTTGGTAGATCATACTCTTGTCTGCCATTGCAAAATCTATAAATACTATTTAAGATAAACTATTTTATACCTGATGGGTTTATTAGTGCATTTCATTTCAGATGCAGTTGATTTATTTGTCTGGGCTCTTCATGAGAGTGCTTGTGTTTTCTGGTCTCCATGTTTTGACCCTTCAGTTAAGAATGCAGTCAGACCTGAGTGGTTTTCTAAATATAACACTGTCTGTTCTTCCTAACAGGGGAGTTGTTTGGCTCTGGTGGTCATGGTGAACTATTTTAATATTGACCAGTGAGGCTTTAGATGATAAAAACCTTTTAATTAGCACGATTTCAGTGATTCTATTGAAATTTGTAATGAAAAACAGCAAAGAAGAAGAATCGGAGTACGCTGAGCCTTTTTGTGATAAGTTTTAGAACAACAGGGTCTCTTTCTGCATTGCATTGTTGGTAATATGGGAATTATGAAGGCTTTGTTGATTAGTTGGCAGCTGCTCACTCTCTCTGTGTTCAAGCCACCTCTGCCAGATGCTTAATCCTGAAACATTCCTTTTCAGTTCCACATGATTGATGAGTCCTGTTCCACAATTGAACCCACATTGTCTTTTATAGAGATTTGTGAACATTTATTGCTCTCCTATCATGGGTTTTATCATATAATTAACCGGTCAAATATTTGAAACACACAAATGCTGCATTTTAAACAGACCACCATACCCTCATTCCCTTTTTCTTACATTATTCCACTATTATAGCCCACTGGAAGAATTGAATGAAAACAAGCTAATTTGATTGGTGCTTCAGCTGTAGGCGCCATCTTCTGTTGAGACATGGAAATTATTCGGCACAACCATCACAGTGCATTATTGATAATTTCTTGCTGCTGAGTGTACAGCAGTTGTACACTTGTTAAAGCGATAAATTATGTAATTGAATGAGTGTGCTAAATTATAGGGTTTAGGAAAACACTACAAATGGATGTCCCCTCAAATGGCTTGTTCAGTGCAGTACGGTACATAATTATTTCCATTTCCACTGTCAGAAGTTGTAAATTGTACCTAAATATGAAAACGGTACAGTACCACTTTCGTTAGGATACCTAGCACAATAGTACAGTACCTAAAGTACCAACCTGATTTCACCAATTAGGACACAGGAGTCAAACTCAGTTCCAAAAGGGCCGCAGCTCTGCACAGTTTAGTTCCAACCCTAATTGAACACACCTGATTAAACTAATTGAGTCCTTCAGGCTTGTTTGAAACCTACAGGTAAGTGTGTTGGAGCAGGGCTGGAACTAAACTGTGCAGGGCTTCGGCCCTCCAGGAATTGAGTTTGACACCCCTGAATTAGGACATGTTGCTGAATTAACATCTATGTTGAATCTGGAACAACATTCCAATCAGCCAATCAGAATTAAGGTATATGTTTACTGTTTATGTTAAGCTTAGGCTAACACTTTAAGCATTTCTACATGATTGCCATGCATCTATTATTCCCCTCTAATTTTGGTAATAGTTTAGTTATGATTGGGTTTAGGGTAAGGAATAGGTCTAGATTACATTTTAGAACAAGACTGATGTTCCACGATCAACATAGATGTTGAACATAAATTCACATAAATGGTGAAGATTCACTGCAGAACACTGTTTTGTTTGCAGAGCATTGACTCTTGTGTGTAATACAAGTGGAACAACAGCAAGGAAAGCCCCTTTACGAATACACAGGCACATTATGACATCATAATAATACAAAGACAACATGCATGGTCGAAGTAAGCTTAAACAAAGCTAGTCATCTTTGTGCAACAAACCAAGAAGAACCACAGGCAAAGAATGTACACAAGCTGACATAAGTCTTGTCATCGATGCCAGTTGTAAGAGCAACAAATAATAACTTGACTACTAGTTGATCATTTGGAAAAGTGGCAGAAGGTAGATTTTTCTATATTTTTCTATTCTATTTTTATTTTTCATACTTCAGCCTCCACATCAAAGTTCCTGAAAACGAAGAAGGTCAAGGTGCTCCAGAATTGGCTAGCCCAGTCACCAGACATATGAACATTACTGAGTTATTTGAGGGATTGCAGAGATGTATGAATGCAGCTGTCCAGTCATAAACAATATTAATTATTTTTTCCCTGCACCATGACTTTATATTCTATACTGTACAATATTTCTGTTAAGTGACAAGACTTTTGTCTAAAAAAAGTCAGACCTTACTGTCCTAATTAAATAAATAAAAATCAAGGCATGATCATGTTTTATTTTGGTAAAATAAGCATAATCTAGAGGCCTTTGCCTTTCATATAAGCCACTTCTGATATCAAATTATCAACTAGAAGTCAATTCAAGTTATTATTTGTTGTTCCTAAAACTTGGATAGGCGACAAGACCTTAAGATAGTGTACGGTGTATGTCCTTTAATGTTTAGGGGAGCAATCACATTGCATCTTAAAACCCATGGAAAGCTCTTGCTTTGTTGATTTGCTCTATTTGAATGCACTTTTCACAAAAATCACAAACTTGAGTAAGTAAAAGGTGCAATAAACTCTATCGTTTTTTTTTCTTTTTCTTTTTTTTTTTCAATTTATGTTACCACTACCTGCGTAGATTACTGCTCTGCACACAAATCCAGGCAATATCATGAGGTGCAACAAACTTTTTTCATGTACACTCAAGACTTGTAGGTCACTTGTCTTTTCACTTTTGCCAACTACGTGTAGGTCATTTCAGTGGTGATTTCACAAAACATGATCCCAAATCCAATCAGACATTTGTATTTATATAGAACTTTTCATAATACACATTGTTTCAAAGGAACCTTACAGAAAAAAGAGCCTCACACATGAAAGAAATTCATAAGCAGACACAATTTATCTTCTTTACACATAAACGTGTTCCCCAGATTTTAACTGGTCACTCTTAAAGGAACATTCAACTTTTTTTTTTTGCAAATCTCATTTTACAAGTCACCTAAAGTAAAGCAGTTGATATTTTACCATTTTTTCTCCCATCCAGGCGATCTTCAGGTCTGGCAGGAGCACTTTTAGCTTAGCTTAGCATATATTATTGCATGGGTTCAGCATCTCGTTTAAAATGAGTAAAAATAAAGATTTCAAATGGATTAAAAGGTGGTAAAACTCAACTGTTTGACTCTAGGTGACTTGTAAAACATATTGGGAGTGTTCCTTTATTGCAGACTGACTCTGAGCTACAGTAAGGGTACATTTATACAACAATTATGTACTTCAAAATAGAAAAGTTTCTCCATTATGCTTAGTTTTTTTAAGTTGATCAGACAACAGATCCCCAATTGGTTGTTGTTAGAAGGGATGCAGCGGTGGCTGGACGTTAACAAGAACACATTATTTATTAAATTACCTAATAATGGTATTTAATTAACATTTACCCCCACTTCTACCCTAAACCTACCTCACACAGTAATGTAAAAATATTAAATATTGTTGTGCAGGGTAACAAAAATGATGCTATGTTTCCTCAGCTGTATCCCTTTTAACATCTTTACCATCCTCATTCACAATAATGACTAAAAAGCTGCATTAGGCTTGCCGGGTCAGTAGTTTGTGAAGAACTTGTGCACTTAACGTCCGTTAGTCCGCTATTGCTATTTCTGGAGTCAAATACCAAACAAAAGTGTTACCTGAAGAAGCAATACACAATATTTAAATAAGGACACTTTCACCCAAAGGTCTTGACACCGACTGCTGCTAGTAAACTATATCACAGAGCAGTACAGACCATATGATGTGATTTAGGCAAGGAGATGAGCAGCCTTACCCTTTTAAACTGATCCCAGTTTATGTACATAACAAACTGATGGTGCGCCGTTTGAAATCCAGTTCTATTTGTTCAAGGATAACAAGTGCTGGCTTCCTCCTACGATTTTGCTCTTGGAGAGAATGTGAAATCATGTTTTATTATGCAACAGCCTACTCATGTACTGCAACACACAAGAACAAAGCCGTAGATAAAGAATATAAAAGATGTGTAGGGAGCAAGACAAGCCTGAAGCATGGGGCGCGGATGAAAATTAATCAAATTAAATGCATGACATTCCAGCTAATTAATCAAATTTATCTCAAGCGTTTGCATATTAATCAATCTAGATGTTAAATGTATTGGAATTAAATGTATTTTATGCTGTCAAATTTGTTCGAGATCTTGTTGAGAAGTCACAATCTGGTCTTTTTCAAGGAGAATTGAGGAATTTTTAGAAATGCCTTCAGTCTTGTGTAATCTTTTTTATGATGCTAGTTTCAGAACACAGAGCTTCTAAAAAACCTATCTTGAAGGAAGAGTTTACTCACGAAGATTATCATTTTAAGGTGAACCATCCCTTAAAGTTGAGCACATGGTACATTTTAAAGCACAAAAACAAGATACAGGAAGGTTTAAACACGATGACCTATTTTAGACACACTAAACCCTGGTTCAGAGATTCGAATTGCTCAATTCACATCAGTCTTTGCTCCGACATAATCCGCCCCCTCTCCTCATCCTCAATCAGTTGGAAGTGTCATCATTAAGGCTTCTCATTAATTCCATTGTGACCAGGAGTTTGTGGTGAATACATGAATCTGATTGGATGGAGATTGTAAGCAAAGCCTTGGATAAAATGGGGCAGGAGTCACCTGTGAGAATAAGAAGATAAGCATTAGTATTAAAGGTTTTTCCCTTGGTAAATTCTGCTCAATTTTATATCACAGACATACTTTGGCAAGATGTTTTAACATTTATTGTATATGTATCAGTATTTGTTTTTTAGAAACTCGTATTTTCTGTTAAGGATTTATTCATTAGTTATTCATTCATTATTCATTTATTCATAGTCTCCCCATTAGTTACTAATAGTTTAATACTACTCGTTTGTAAATACTAATAAATAATAAATATTTATTAGATAATATTATTTATTTATTCGATATTAGATCTTAATCATTAACTACTGGTACTTTTTTATTAGATAGTAGTACTTATTTGTTTGATATTAGTACCCATTGAAGTGGTACTAGTAAAGTACTTATTAGCAGTGTTGGGTAAGTTACTTTAAAAAAAAGTAATAGATTACAAGTTACTGATTCCTACTGGAAAATTGTAATCTGATTACATAACTAATTACTTCATGTAAAAAGTAATCAGATGACTAATTACTTTACTTTGAAGTTACTTTTAAAACATAAAATAGATCTATAAAAATACAAACGAAACTCTTTTAGTAATTTAATATTCACTGAAAAACATTACAATGAGTTGATCACTGCAGCTTGACATTCTAAAGACTTCTTTTATTTTTTATTTTTTATTTTATTAAGACTTCTCAAATTCTTTTATTATTCACTTGTTCCAAACCTGTTTGTCTTTTTCTTTTTCTTTTTTGAACTCAATGAAGAAAACTGGAGACCTGTAACCATTGACATCAACAGTATGCAAAAGCACTACAGTGTTTAGGTGTTCTGTGTTTGTCTGAAGTAATCTTACTGAAATGTGCATATTCCATATAAAAGTATGCAGCTAATCAGTCAGTTCTTGTCACGTGACTTGGAAAATGCAAGTGCACACAATATACACTCTGCACGAAGTCGCACGCAAAAGACGTGATGTGTGATGATGATGTTTTCTTCACATTCAGAAGATACCGTCACTCCCGATCCTGCACAAAAGTTTTGTTTAGCCTGTTCAGGCTGAGTTGGACCCATGTGTTTTTAGGCGCTGGTGTCCTCCTTGGCAATGAGTATTGTCATAGAATGCTTTCTATTCAAGTGTTTGAATAAGTTGCTGGTCGAGTTAAAAGCAGTTGAAAGTTCTTTAGAGGCTGCCCATTGACTGCATTTTATAGAAATATTTTAGTTTTTATGCTCAATGACATCAAAGTAATGTCTTTCTAAAAAAGCGGAGTGTTTCTTTAATTTGGGGAACACATGTACATTATGTATTTCCATATAAACCATTTCAGCTCGCGTTTTCTAGCTATTTAAAAGCACATACTTATTAACTGACATTGCAACTTTAATATTGACTTTAGTAACTGTAATCAAACTACACAAATTTAAAATGTAATTAGTTACATTAATGTGTTCCCCTAAAACGTAGAATACAGTTACACCCAACTCTGCTTATTAGATACTAGATTTCAGTAGTGATTAGCAGGAGTTGATATTAACTTTTTTATTATTAGTTTTAATTATTAGTTTTTTTTATTATTGTCATGTATCTAAAATATGCACACGGTAAAGGTTAAACCTGGCTAAAGGTCCCAGATAACCAATTAACTACACTTAAATGGGGAGATAATCTCATATTATAGCAATGTTGTTGCAAAAAATTATAATTAAACCATATTAACAAAAATAACTGCAAGCAAAAGAAAGCAGGTAATAAAATATATTGTGATGATGAAAGGATGATCACGCGCTTACGGTTAACGTTAGGCCAATTAATAATTTGTTCAAATAATAGTTAAAGTGAAAACATGATCATTGATCTTTTTCAAAGAGAACCGATCGCATCAGTTGTGTTTCTTTTAGGCACGGTTGCTTTGCATCATGATCATCCTCTCATTCATTCGGTATTCACCTGCTTCCTTTAGCTTTTGTGAACACAGTTATTTCAGTCTGTCATTCTGCTTCTCGATTCTAAGATCATATTTACACACATATTTGGCCATCCTTATTGTCGAACTCTGCCTTTAGGAATACTACAATTCAAAAATTATTTTCAACCTACCAAAGTAGCTAGTGGGAGTGTCTGTCTACTAACCCAACACAGCTGAAATCTACCCGCATTTGGCAGATTGGCGGGTGTTAATGTCAAGCCCTGGTGACTAGTAACTATTCTGTCATTAAAAAGATCCATTGAGATATCATCTATTCAGCTTTGATTAGTATTTATTTTTCATATAACAGCTATTTTTTAAACAGTCTTAAAATATCTAGTATCTAAAAAGTAGTATTACCTTATGAATTAGTGTATAAAAATAACAATATTAGTAACAACAAAATAGTCACTTGATACTCCTGAAAATAAGTATTATATAAATATCTATGAATCTGAGAAGTAAGTACTAACTAATCTAATAAATAAGAATCTATCTAATAAACAAGTAGCCTTCTGTTTTAAAAAGGCACTAGTACCAAAGGAATAAGCAGTAGTAGCTAATTAGTAAACACTACGTAGTGGAAAATATAGTAGTAATAAATAACCACTGGCAGTTTGAAATATATACACTAGCACATTATATAGATTGAATGTTAAATCCGCTTGCCACACACACACACGTGTCCTACTGCAGATGGATCACAGAGCATGTTTTGCTCTATATTAGGGTGGTCTGTTGAGGCATGCTGGGACAGCACACAACAGACGGACTTTCACTGCCCTACTGATCTGTGGGGTATTAATAGAGCCTGATTCACCCTCACACCCCTTCACACAGTCAAAAACACCCACATACACACTCCAGCACTGACATATGCAGGCTAGCACATGCACACCCATTTTACTGCTACTGACACCCTGTGGTCATTTGTGCAAACAGCAGGAGGTCTTTGTAGGCTGAGCATGTTTACATGAACTTTTACCCACCAATATACTGAATCTGTTTATTTATATAACCTATTGTCCAGGGTTTCATGCAAATCTATAACCCAGCAATGCAAGGAAACCCATTTGAAACATAACAATTTAAGCATCTTACTTTAAGGTTTTCATTTGTTATTTCAGTTGCTATGTTTAATAAATCACTCAAAACTGAAGAAAAGAGTTTCAACATGAAGCGTACAGCAAATATATGACCCTTTCAAGATGCAGGATATTGATTGTACCAGTTCTACTCAAACTGAACACATTTGGGTCTGGAAAGCATTTTTGGAAATTGGCTCATTTTACAACTCACCTAGAGGTACAGTAAACAGCTGAGTTACTATTCTTTGATCAATCCAATTCCAATCTCCAGATCTGGAGCACTTTAAGCTTAGCTTAGCATATGTAATTGAATCAGATTAGACCATTAGCATCATTCTCAAAAAATAAAAAGAGTTGTGCTATTTCCTTTTTTCCACCTATTTTACTGTTTAAAGCTTGACACTTCTGTATTTACTGTACATTGTGTACTAAACCCACAGAGGCAGGCACAATAATAAAACCCAGCAAAGTTCCTTGATTGATTCGCCAGAATGAGATTATATATCCTAGCCATATTAACCTAGAAAATGATAAAACTTAGCTCTTTAATTCTAGATGACTTGTTATTTCCAAAATTGGAGTGTTCCTTAAGAATATACACAAAACTCATAAGCTTCCCAGCCAGAAGATGTAAAAATGTGTTTGGGTAGAAGTAATAATAATAATAGTAATTCTTTACATTTATATTTCTTACATTTATGTTTATGTTACATTTATTTTGCAATATTCTTCTTCAGATTTTAATGATTTCAGATTTAGCATAATAAATTATAAAGAAGCTACTTTGAGACTGTTATTGGTTTGCATGTAAATGTGGAAACAGGTTGTTTTAATAAACAGATTTTTGTAAGTTATCATCATATCGTTTAAAGGGCACCCATTTTAACCACTTTTTAAAAGAAGTCGTTTGTGTCTCCAGAATGCGTATGTAATGTTTCAGCTCAAAACGCCCATCAGATTGTTTATTATACCTTTTTAAATCTGGGAAATTTAAGCTGTTACGACATTGTAGCTGTTTTTGTTGGCTGTGCCTTTAATACAAATAAGCTGGTTCTCCGTGCCCACCATTTACGCGTGTGTGTCAGAGCCATAGCCTTCACGTAGATAAACTGCACAGTGACAGACAAGAATGAGCCAGATCTCCAGAACTTTCCCAACGGTTATTTGTTATATTTCTTGGAGTCAATTCAAGCCTTTCTGCAATGATGAGTAACACAATACGTCGTTATAAAAATCGTTTAGCTTTGCACTGTTTTTGCATGGCAACGGTGACAGGATACACATTAATATCCACTGCTGTATGGACATCCATTATGGTAATGTACTAAATAAACCTGATTTAATATTCACAAATTGGGATTGAAGCGTCTTGGTTTATTATTGTAGTGACATTATGCGGCTGGTAATGAATTACGTGTCGATTTTACTGTATTTATTTCAAACATGCACTGTTTTAAAAATGTTTTAAACTTGTAAAAGTCATACTTGATCACATTTGAACAAGGACAAATCTTTTAATCTCAGTTACTTTTTGCTCGTCCTGTCTTTTGTATATGATTATACACGTTACTATGGAGACATGTTGATACGCGTCTTTCAATCAATTCGGTGGGCAGAGAAACCGCACTCCTACATCAAGTTGCGGTCAGCCTCAAAATGGGAGGGATTTGTATCCTATTTTAACCTCAGTATTTTTTTTTTAAAGAAACTAACCATGTTTCTATCACTCCAATATGACAGTGAACACACTATAGGTGGCCTTTAAAAGCTTATGAAGATTAATAGGGTTAAATGAAGAGTTCAATCAAAAATTGTCATAATTTACTCACCCTCAGCCTCAGGTTTGTCCTTCTGCTAAACAGTAAACTGAAGAAAGTTGGAAAGCAGCAGTCATTGACTTCTGTAGTATTTTTTTTGTTTTAATGACAGTCAATGGCTGCTGATTTTTTAACATTCGTCAGAATATTTTTTGTGTTCAACAGAAGAGAGAAAATCATAAAAGCTTAAAACTACTTCAATGTGCGTAATAGGAAGAAAATCTTCAGTTTTGGATGAACTGTCCGTTTAAGAATGTGCATGTAAACATACTCAATGCATTTAGAAAACCAGTTGTTCTTTTGATCCTGTTGCTTCACATATTTGTTTGTGATTGCATAAGACTGACAAGCACCAATGGTGTTTGACTAACCGGAAATGGTGTGAATTTGAATGTCAGATTTACCTGAGCCAATTTAGTCTTTGGTGACCCATCTGAGTTCACTCTTTACATTTTGGAGTTCGGAGAGGTTGACAGCGGGACCAGGGAGTTTCACAGCTCCAGGCAGAGGCTTCTTCTCTTCTGGAGTGACTGGAGACACCTGTGAAACCAATAACATCAATACAGATTACTGAATGACCTTCATTAAAGGGGTTAGTTTAAACCAAAATTCAAAATCTGTTATTAATATCTCACTTTCATGTCCCACCAGCTTCATTCACCTTCAGATTACAAATTAAGATATTTTAGATGAAATCCGAGAGCTCTCTCTCATCATTCATAAACAATGGTTCCAAGACAGTCAAGAAAAGGAACCAAAACCATGTGTTTGCACCAGAAAAAAAAACACTATGCATTTATGAAATGTGATTCACACAGGTGAGTGGGCTTGACAAACCACCTGTACAGACACTATTTATTCTTATAATTGAAAAGACACTCCTTCTTACTTAAGCGCTTTATTCTCTGAGCACACACTGCTCATTTGTATAATCAGCATTTCTTGTATGTATTGCCTCTTCTTGTTGGATTGCTGAATGCCTCCTCAATTGTATGTCACTTTGGACAAAAGCATCAGCCAAATGGCTTTCAAGATTTTACACTTAGCTATTACTTGATACTGATTGCAGGTTTGGCCTGCTGTACCAGGAGAGAACCCTAAGCTCGGAGAAACTTGAGCCCAGAGCTCCTGCCTGGTCTTTTTGCATAAAATGGGTCAGAGATCAGGAAGTTCTCAAACTCCCTCTGTAGAAGGAGGAAAAAGGGGGGAAGATGGGGTGGATGGTGGGTTTCTTCTAGTCGAAGATGCTTAGAGTAAAACAAACTGGGCTATTTATTGAAAACTAGGATTCACCTGATTGGTTTAACATTGATTTGTGATGCAGGACCAGCTGCGATCAATCATAGCACTTGATCCTCTCGAAATTAAGTTTGTCAAACTTCACCAATGTAAATGGGATGTAAATGTTCAATGGCTCAACTGTAATCAAATGATGCTCTAAGAAAAACATTTTGCATGTGTGCATTGTGCAACAGTATAGTTTATACTATATTTACAGACAAACGGCAAGTTTTTTTGTTTTGTTTTTTGCCGAACAAAAGTGTTCTTGGAGTTTCATATGATTACATTTGAACCACTGAAGGCACATGGGATCTTTCGAAAATGTTTTTGGTTCCTTTTCTGGACTTTGAACATGTTGTGCCCATTGCTGTCTACGGATGAGAGAGATCTAGGATTTCTTCTAAAATATCTTAATTTGTGCTCTGTAGATGAATGAAGGTTTTGGAAGATTTATATGACACAAGGGTGGTTTATTAATAACAGAATTTTCATTTGAATCCTTTGTCATATCATGTTTTGGCACCAGAATAAAAATAAAGATAAAGATTAACTTTATATTACTGTCCCTATTTAGGGCCACTATGTGCCAATAATGTTATTTTATGACAAAGACAAGCACATTTGCATCTACATTTTTTTTCTACATCTACATTTCTGTTTATATTATTCAGACATTTTTCTTTAAATTATTTCACATACCACAGTAATGTAAAAATGCTAGCATATTAACCTTTATGATTATTGCTAAATACAAATAATAAATTGTTTAATATATTTAGAGTACTTTTCATTTAAATAATCACTGGTAAATAATAGTTTAAAGGTCAATTTAAGCAAGGCACGGTTGGCAGGAATGTACCCTGGATTAGATGCATATTGTGATAGATGGTACTTTTTTCCAGCTGAATTGACACATATGCTTTGGTCTTGCCCTTCTTTAAATAATTATTGGGCATTGATTTTTAAGTCTATCAGTGAGGTCCTGAGAAAGACAATAATGCCCTGTTCCTCAATGGGTATATTGGAACTGACCATGACTTTATCAGCTACTCAGAGGGGCATTATTGCTTATACATCTTTATTTGCCCCCACACCCCCATCTGTGAAAGCCTGGTTTGAAGATGTGATGACTTTTCTAAAACTAGAAAAGATTAAATACACACTAAGGGGTTCGCGGACAGGTTTTAGATGTAGTGGAAACCCACAGTACTTTATCATGTTTTAAAAATCTAAAACAATTACCCTACTGTTAAATTATATGTATATCTATTTGTATCCACTTCATGGTGTTTTTGTCTTTAATGTAGTTTGTCCTGCAAATTTAGATTTTTTTGTGGGTTCCCTGTCATCATCCTCCTCTGTTTCTTTTACCTCATCTGTGTTATCAGAATCCGATGACATTTCTTGAGCCTCGTTATACACCTTTTCTTGTGTTCTGTTCTTCTTTTTCGGTGCCATTCCAGTTGTTAAACTTTTATGTGTTCAATAACCAGCCGTGTATTAGAGATTTAAGTGAGTTTAAAGGATTTATATTCAAAATTATGAGAGGGTTGTTATCTCGCGACTTCTCACTACCACTCCTTAACCGGAAGTCTGATCTACAAATTTGTATTTATTTATTTATTTATTTATTTATTTATTTATTTTTTATTAATTAATAAATTTATTTATTTATTTATTTATTTATTTATTTATTTATTTATTTATTTATTTATTTATTTATATTCCGCTGTCATTTGTAATTTTTTTTTTCTTCCATCATCACTGTTACATCACAACATGCATGACACCAGACTGTTTAATTATTGTATTTTGACCCTAATTATTTAAGGTTAAACTGCCTTTGGATCTTCAGGTCTTTGAGTGGTACAAGGGTCAAAACCAAAATAGAAAGAAGGAAACTGTAATGTTTATTGTTGTATTCTGTAAAAACGTTATTTTCCTTCAATAATAATAAATAAATAATAATAATTCAAATATTAAAATGAACATACATTTATTTTCTTGTAATTAAGTTAAATACTACGGTAATATAAAACTACAAACATATATTTAGGCATATTTATCCTAGTGATTATTACTAAATAAAAGCAATAAATAGTTTAATATGAGTATAGTACTTTCACTTAAATAAACACTGCTGAATAATATATATTTTTTTAATTTTTGATCAAAAACACTAAAAACTTCATGAAATATTTATTTAAAAATAACAGTTTTCTTATCAAATGCAGTTTAACATTACATTTATTGCTGTGGGTCCTTGGCATCGTTACAGTCTTTAATGTTTCATTCATTAAATCTTTCATTTTTTTTGTTTTATTTGAATTGTTTTCACAACAGTATTTACACTGTAAAAATGCTTTCTTCATCACAATCAATTTGTGTTGGGACAATATGAAGGAATTAAGTTACCTTATTAGTTTTTACTAATTTAAGTGGATTGAACATAAAACTATCAAGTTGTCCCTAAAAAAACCCTCAAGAATTATGTTGTTTCTGCTCATTAGCAAAAGCATTTTTTGAGTTTTGCTGTAAAATGAGCAGTTTTAAAAATACTGCATCACAATATTTATATTCTTGAATAAGTATAATTTCAACAAGCAATGTTTGTTTGTTTGTTTGTTTGTTTGTTTGTTTGTTTGTTTGTTTGTTTGTTTTGTGGCTTTCTTTGCATCAGGGGTGTCCAAACTCTGTCCTGGAGGATCGGTGTTCTGCAGATTGTTGCTCCAACTTGTCTCAACACACCTGCAAGGATGTTTCTAGAAAGCCTAGTAAGAGCTTGATTAGCTAGCCCAGGGGCCTGTTTCAGTAAGGAGGTTCAAACAACTCGGAGTTTAAACTTGAACTCTGAGTTGATTTACCAAGAGATTAAAAACTCAGAGTTTTTGGTTTCAGAACAGCTGATCTGAGTTAGGTCAATCAACTTTTAGTAGACCAACTCAGAGTTAAGCGCGCACACCTTGACTACAAAATGGCATTATCAATGGAGTGCAGATATTACGAGTGACCATGGCAACATCTTAAAAAAGATATCACCATTTCTTTCTCCAGCTGTATTTGATGTGATGATGCAAAGTTATAGCAAATATGAGTGTATGTATTTAAAAAGAAGCAACCATCAGTGAAACAGAGATAGTTAGCCTGGGAAAACAGCTGCTCAAGTTAATGTGTAATTTTACATTTAATATATTTAATTATTTAAGTATAATAAAATAAGTCATTTAATGTGCGATGTTTATAATTTTTGTCTAAACTTTTTATACACGTTTATCAGTTTTAATAGATTTAACAGTGCACTTGTGTCTACCCTTTTTACTGATTAAGTGATTGATATAACATTTAGAAGGTAAGCAGTACTAAAAATTATTTTTAGAAAGAATAATTAATCTAGTTACAGCTAGTACATGTCGAAGGTCAGTGAATTTAAGCTAATTATTTATTGTTCTGTGTGTGACTAAAAGGTAGGCAATATCTATGCTTTCATCCAAATAAACTGCATAAATTTATGTGCAAAACTGGAATATTGCATAAAAGATGTGCGAAGAAAGCAGCGTTTCCATCCAACGAGTCAAAGAGAACAAAATTGTCACTTCCTGATTAACTTGCGCCAAATATCAACAGTAAAAACAGAATTTACTGTGGTAGGAAAAGCTGCGCTTTTTATTTAATAAATGTACTTGTGCCTCAGAAGACAATGAACATGTGGGGGTGTTTGAAGCCATGAGACGTGGAGACTCTTGACACGCTCCAGACGCTCGGAGGTAATTAATAATATACACTAATACTGAAACAGTTAGGGCATTTTAAAATGACTAAAACAACATTTAAGACATGTTAAAGTGTGCTCAGCCTGCTGGTTTGTCCATTCACACACATTTTCATCATCAAATGATGACCTTTTTTTAATGTACATACTGTAATTTGTTCAGTAAAAGTCTTTCCATCGTAGTTTATGTGCATATTTTCTATCGAATAAAAGTTTATCCTACTCAATTATGCGTGTGTTTTTTATGCATATTTTCAAAAGTTATATGCATCTTGATGTTTCCATAAATCGTTTTTATGCACATCTCCAAAATGAGCATTAAAATAGGTGGGTGCAAACTTAAGGCTAAGGCGAGAAATTCCACTTTCTCTTTAAAAAAGGGGAGGAGACCGACAGAAACTCTGAGTTTAGAGAATAAAACCTGCCCCCGACCAGGTTAGTTTCACAGAGTAAGTTGCCACAGTAACTGACTCTGAGTTAAAGTTACCTCTCTTTCAGAAACAGGCTTGACTTACCCTGCTTTCTCGAGTTAAACAAACCTGCCATTTTGAAACGAAAAACCCAGAGTTTCTCTCATTTCAGGGTTAAAATACTCTGAGTTTTCACTTAACCTCCTTTCTGAAACAGGCCCCAGGTGTGTCTGATTGGGGTTGTAGCTTAACTGTGCAGGACACAGGCCCAACAGGACCGAGTTTGGACACTCCTGCCCTACATCTATACCCAAATTATTTGTCTATTTCTAAATAATTGTGTGTTTTATTTCATGCATCAGAATCTGACCTCTTCTGTTTCTACTGTATCTTCTCTCCTCTTCACAGGATGTCCCGCTCCAGGACGCAGAGCCCCCATCGGGATATTAAGGTTGGCCTTCGAGACAAATCACAAAATCTAATGAGACGCTGAAGGGTGAGAAGACATACAAAAACCCCCCGAAAACACTCATTTCCAAACATTCACAAGCCTATAATCGAACCACCAGAGTACCAAAGTCATTGAAGCTCATGTAAAATTGTGCAATGTCGAAACCAAAATCTTTCCACAAAAACCTGCTGGACGTGTCCTCCTGCTGGAGTTTGTGTTTCATCAAGAGCAAAGTGCCTGTATGGAAATGAGCTGCGGGCGACAGATAAAACAGTGAGATGACAGACGTCCCTCTGTTTTCTGAGGCCCAGCGTGAACAGACTGTCCTTTTCTTTTTTCTTCTGCTCTTTATTTAGTGGAGACTAAATGCAGCATGTGTTATGAAAACAAAAGTGAACATGTGAAACTGTGTTAACAACTAGAGTGTAGGGAGAAACACTAAAATTGAAGGGATTCTTGCTGCTTCTGTTGGTTTAAATCTGTTTGTCATTAACTTTTCATCATTCATTTTCCCAAAATTAATAAATGAAAATGATTATAAGAAATTATATTTTTTCATAAATAGTGTTATTAAAGGGATAGTTCATCCAAAAAAAGGCAGCAAAAAAAGATTTTTAGCTTAAGCCATGGCCCTTTATGAATTATAAAATGTAAGTAGTCGGCACTTTGAGGGTCAATAAAATAATATATACAGGCAAAAGTAAAAGAATACTATTGCTGTCTGATGATATATTGAGAGAATTTAAAGATATTTTATATTATTTACAACATTATTGCAGTCTGTAGTGTGTACTCCTTTCAAAGTATTTATAAAAATTATTATTTTGCTTTGTTATTCTCAGTATAATTCACTTTAAATAACCAGCCTACATGGAAAAGATAGCGGTTCATTCTGCTGTGGTGACCCCGGATTAATAAAGGGACTAAGCCGTCAAGAAAATGAATGAATAATATATAATATAATATAATATAATATAATATAATATAATATAATATAATATAATATAATATAATATAATATAATATAATACAATATTTTCACCAGTCACTTTATTAGGTACACCTTTGCAACTGCTCCTTAACGCAAATATCTAATCAGCCAATCACATGGCTGCCACTCAATGCATTTAGGCATGTAGTCATGGTCAACACGATCTGCTGCAGTTCAAACCGTGCATCAGAATGGGGAGGAAAGGTGATTTAAGTGACTCTGAACATGGCATGGTTGTTGGTGCCAGATGGGCTGGTCTGAGCATTTCAGAAACTGCTGATCTATTGAGATTTTCATGCACAACCATCTCTAGGGTTTACAGAGAATGGTCTAAAAAAGAGAAAAATATCCTGTAAGCAGCAGTTCATTCATTCATTTACTCATTTACATACACTCATACACTACGAACAATTTAGCCTACCCAATTTACCTGTACCGCATGTCTTTGGACTGTGGCGGAAACCCACGCGAACACAGGGAAAACATGCAAACTCTACACAGAAATGCCAACTGACCCAGCCGAGGCTCGAACTAGCGTCCTTCTTGCTGTGAGGCAGTTCTGTGGGCACGAATGCCCTGTTAATGCCAGAGGTCAGAGGAGAATGGCCAGACTAGTTTGAGCTGATAGAAAGGCAACAGTAACTCAAACAATCACTCGCTATAATTGAGGTATGCAGAAAAGCATATCTGAACGCACATCAAACCTTGAGGCGGATGGGCTACAGCAGAAGAAGACCACACCGGGTGCCACTCCTGTCAGCTAAGAACAAGAAACTGAGGCTACAATTTGTACAGGCTCACCAAAATTGGACAATAGAAGATTGGAAAAACGTTACCTGGTCTGATGAGTCTCGATTTCTGCTCCGCTATCCGAATGGTAGGGTCAGAATTTGACATCAACACCATAAAAGCATGGATCCATCCTGCCTTGCATCAACAGTTCAGGCTGGTGATGGTGGTGGTGTAATGGTGTGGGAGATATTTTCTTGGCACACTCTGGGCCTATTTAGTACAAACTGAGCATTGTGTCAACGCCACAGCCTACCTGAGTATTGTTGCTGACCATGTCCATCCTTTTATGACCACAGTGTACCCATCTTTTGATGGCTACTTCCAACACCATTTCATAAAGCAAAAATCAACTAAGACTGGTTCATGAATATGACAATGAGTTCACTGTTATCAAATGCTCTCCACAGTCGCCAGATCTCAATCCAAAAGAGCACATTTGGGATGTTGGCAGCCGACAAATCTGCAGCAACTGCGTGATGCTATCATGTCAGTATGGACCAAAATCTTTGAGGAATATTTCCAGTACCTTGTTAAATCTATGCCACGAAGGATTAAGGCAGTTCTGAATGGAAAAGAGATAATACTAGTACCAACCTAGAACTAGTAAGGTGTACCTAATAAAGTGGCTGGTGAGTGTATCATATAATATAATTGAATATAATAAAATAAAGGCTGGTTATTTAAAATTGGAGAGAGAAAAAAGCATAACAATTGTTTTATATGCCACTAAAATTTAAGATGCTGCAATTGAATTTGATTGTATGAACAAATAATTGTCATTGAAGCATTCATAGGTATAAAGGCCATGTCTATTATATATATAGGGGGGTGCACTAATATGCACTAATATGACTATTTTTATTTAAAATTTAAAAGAAATTTTATTAGACCTTTTTAAAATAAAAACAAATATTAATATGTCTCATGATAATTCAGTTTTAAATTATAAAAAGTTATACATTTTAGTTTTGGGGGGCTTCTTCAAGTTTCATGCAGAACTTTTTAGGATCTCCGCAGTTCTGTCTCTCTTCACTTTATACATCACTGTTTTGGTCAAACACACTTGGTTTAATTCATCGTTTTGCCATTTAGTGTTTCAATTAGACAACTCAAGATCCTCAACCAGTCTCAAAACACTCTCAGAGATTTGGCTGCTCTCCAGTTTTGCATAAATTTCACAGTCCAGTACATTAAAGTACATAGTTTTTTCTACTCCTTTTTTTCCACCGACTTTCCTTTTCTCATTGTCTTTGCTTTTCCAACTTTCCATCAGCTGCTGGATGAATCTGATTGTTGGCTGTTTATTTTCTAGGCTGTACAGTAGTAAATCTTTGCTCCTGTCTTTGCATGTGGCCAGTTTTACTTCTCTCTGTGCTTTCTGATGGACCGTATCCTTAATCTTGTGTATGCTTGGGCATTCTATGGATTCATATGTATATGAAGAGTTTTTATGGAAAGATCAAAGTGTCTATTTTTTGGGCTGAAGTGTTCGGTGTTTGTAATAATTGTTCTCTACACTGTGGTTAACTGTTATGAAAATCTTTCTCTTTTAGCGTTCATAGCCAGAAATACATGCATAGGTGAAAAAGTGGATTTTTGCATATATTGGTCATAATGTGATCTGTCACATCAATAGACAAACACACTGCATAATCATGCATTTTCAAGTCAGTATGGAATGTACAGAATAATTTGTTAGTGAATATATTTGAAATGATAATGAATGAGTTAGTCTTAAAGAAATGTTTTATTAGTGTACATTGTACTGTTAACTAAACAAATAAAGTAAATAAATAAAGATTATGCCACCAAAACATGTTAAACCAGATGTTTAAAATGTCCATACTCATTTTCCTTTTTTTCAAGTTTGTTCTATAATAACAAGAAAAGCTTTGTGGAAGATCAGCTCACATTTTAACCAATTTATGGGTCAAAGTTGAAAATGACTATTACTTAAAGAAAAACATTACAGTTACATTTTTCAAACATTAATCAAGTATCTTGTTTAATTTCTTTATACATTTAGTCATACATATGTTTTCATGACTTACAAATGAAACCAACTAAATTGTCATTTATTAGTTTATACCAAACAATATATATTTTCAGTTTTTTTTTAATCAAGAATCATTTGATATAAGACTCATAATTTAGTCCCAAAATATTAAATAATTGTTGTGTTTTTGCCACTATCCTTCAAACCACTCTGTTTTACCCATTTGCAATTTAAATTTAGTTACTTGTGTTTACTTAATCAATTTTGTAAATTAAAGTTAATAAAGAACTCTTCATTTAAAGTGTCGTCTTTGACCCATATGCAAAAATCCAACAAAACTCTTTAAACTGGCTGGCAACGGTTGTAATGACTTCAACAAAAGCCTATATTTTTATATAAATCATTTCAGTTTGAGCAAGTAATGTTTACCTACCAAGAAGACAAAATCTGGATACACATCAACAACATAAAATCATGTATGCCATGTACTTGTGAATGGCCTTGTGTGAGTACTGTAATGCAATGTAGATTCAAATGTGTTTTTACAGTCATACCTCCATGTTCAAAGTAAGAAGCTAGATTTTCAGATGTTTGAGTGTGTTTAAGTAAATAAATGCACACTAGGTTTCATTTTGTGCCAATAAAATCTACTGTTCTGCTCTTTTTACTGGTTAACTGACAGTAAGAATTTGATAAAGGATTAGCTAAAAAAATTGTTTAGATGCACAATAAATAGAAAATGTATATAATTAGGAAAGCATTTAAACTGCTGCCTTCTAAGTTTTTTTTTTAAAAAAGAGAAACAAAACCCAAAGTTTTAACAATTTTTCTTAAGTAAAACTTTTATAGGGCTGGTTAATTTATTTATTTGATAAAACTGCCCAACGAGCATTTGGTTTGTTTAAAAGATTGTCTTATAGACCTTTTGGCTATAACAAAAATTTGATCTGTCCGTGAACATCTTATAGACGTGTAACAATAGTTCATAAACAGACTATAGTCATCAAATAGACAGGAATGAATACACATGTGAAGTGTGTGTGTATTTGATGACTTGTCTATTTGTGAACTATTGTTAGACATCTATTAGATTTTAAACTGACGTCTTTTAAACTTTGACATTGTGTAAAAGACATCTAATAGACGTTTTAGCTGAAACAAAAAATTGATCTGTCGGCGAACATCTAATAGACGTCTAACAATAGTCCATAAACAGACTATAGTCATCAAATAGACTGAATGAAAACACATGTGAAGTGTGTGTATTAAATGTCTTGTCTATTTGTGGACTGTTGTTAGACATCTATTCGATTTTAAACTGACGTCTTTTAAACTTTGACATCACGTAAAAGACATCTATAGACGTTTTGGCTAAAACAAAAATTTGATCTGTCAGTGAACATCTAATAGATGTCTTACAATAGACCATAAACAGACTATAGTCATCAAATAAACTGAATGAATACACGTGAAATCTCTGTATTTGATGACTTGTCTAATTGTGGACTATTGTTAAACATCTATTACATTTTAAACTGACGTGTCTTAAACTTTGACATTGTGTAAATGATGTCTAATAGGAGTTTTGCCTTAAACAAAAATTTGATCTGTCGGCAAACATCTAATAGACGCGTAACAACAGTCTATAAACAGACTAATCATCAAATAAACAGGAATAAATGTGTGAAGTGTGTGTATTTGATGACTTGTCTATTTGTGGACTATTGTTAGACATCTATTAGATTTTAAACTGACTTCTTTTAAACTTTATCATTGTGTAAAAGACATCTAATAGACGTTTTGGCTGAAACAAAAAATTGATCTGTCGGTGAACATCTACTAGATGTCTTACAATAGTCCAAAAACAAACTATAATCATCAAATAGACATGAACGAATGAATACACATGTGAAGTGTTTGTATTTGATGACTTGTTTATTTGTGGACTATTGTTAGACATCTATTAGATTTTAAACTGACGTCTTTTAAACTTTTACATCATGTAAAAGACATCTAATAGACAGTTTGGATAAAACCCAAAAAAATTTTTGATCTGTCAGCGAACATCTAATAGACGTCTAACAATAGTCCAAACTATAGTCATCAAATAGACATGAACGGATAAAAACACATGTGAAGTGTGTGTATTTGATAACTTGTCTATTTGTGAACCATTGTTGGACATCTATTAGATTTTAAACTGACGTCTTTTAAACTTTGACATTGTGTAAAAGACATCTAATAGACGTTTTAGCTGAAACAAAAATTTGATCTGTCGGCGAACATCTAATAGACGTCTAACAATAGTCCATAAACAGACTATAGTCATCAAATAGACTGAATGAAAACACATGTGAAGTGTGTGTATTAAATGTCTTGTCTATTTGTGGACTGTTGTTAGACATCTATTCGATTTTAAACTGACGTCTTTTAAACTTTGACATTGTGTAAAAGACATCTATAGACGTTTTGGCTGAAACAAAAATTTGATCTGTCAGTGAACATCTAATAGACGTCTAACAATAGACCATAAACAGACTAAAGTCATTAAATAAACTGAATGAATACACGTGAAATCTCTGTATTTGATGACTTGTCTAATTGTGGACTATTGTTAAACATCTATTACATTTTAAACTGTTGTGTCTTAAACTTTGACATTGTGTAAATGATGTCTAATAAGAGTTTTGCCTTAAACAAAAATTTGATCTGTCGGCAAACATCTAATAGACGCGTAACAACAGTCCATAAACAGACTAATCATCAAATAAACAGGAATAAATGTGTGAAGTGTGTGTATTTGATGACTTGTCTATTTGTGGACTATTGTTAGACATCTATTAGATTTTAAACTGACTTCTTTTAAACTTTAACATTGTGTAAAAGACATCTAATAGACGTTTTGGCTGAAACTAAGAGTTGATCTATCTAATAGATGTCTAATAATAGTCCAAAAACAGAAATAGACAGGAATGAATGAATGTACGAGTGAAGTCTGTGTATTTGATGACTTGTCTATTTGTGGACTATTGCTAGACGTCTATCAAAGTTTGCCTTGTTTTATCCAAGACGTCTGTATTTGAACATCTAATAGACGTCTTTTAAACACAACATGCTTGGTGAGTGTATTTTGTTTTTTCTGCTGCTCACTAGCACTGGCTAGTGATGCAATTAAGACATTAAAATGTTAGCAATTAGCACATTTTAAAATAGTTAAAACATGAAAATGCTAATATTTAATAATGGACAATAGTAATATTAAAAATAGTATTTGTGGTAGTTTCAAAAGGTCACAGAGTTTCGTTTTCATTAACAAGTGTCGACTGTTGGTTAGGGAAATTACCAGAAACAAACATTCCTATAAAGTACAAACAAAGTTCTACTCACCTGCAGGGCTTTGACGTTGGACGACGGCTGTTTTGACATTGTGTGCAGTTGTGTCCACGTTCCTGCTGTAGAAAAGACAGGGACAGAGCGAAGTCATAGATCAGATGGACTCTAAATGCATGTGTTTTGTCTGCGCCTCTGTATTTAGGGAAAAGTGAAGCCCCCCTGCGGCTCTCAGGTGCTCATGGATAGTCTTTCGGTTGCTTAGTGAGGAACAGGTAGAAGCTCTTTGCCCCTGAATCATTTATGTTAACATGGAGAGGACAGGCCTGGGATACACACACGCTATACACACACTTTATACAGAACATTGTAGACTGATGTTGCAAGTGAACAAACGCTGCGTTCAAGCTTTACATGAATTTTGGATATACGTCTGGGGTGGTTTGGTGAAATAGGTGCTCAATAATAGCTCGGGCAGACTGTATCTAATAAGCAGACATGTTTCAATAGCAAGACTTATGTAAAATATCAGTTAAAGAACAAATTTTTCCACGCTTCATAGTGAAACATCCAGTGAGTGTCACTAAGAAAAGTGTTTCATTGCCTTCAAAACAGATAAATGTGGCAACAATTATATTACATTATGACAAGCAGTTTTAACATTTAATCTACTAAACATTTTTATTGTTACTATTTAAATATTATGTAGCAACGTTATCCATTAGCTACTAGTGCTCAGACCCTTGGAACGTTTTACATCTTATCTTTTAAAGTACTTAAAATGTACTTATTCATTAGATATTTAATATTTATTAGGTACTAGCTTTCATTAATTAGATACCGATACCTATTAAATTGACACTAGTACCTATTTATTATATACTAGTACCTTAGGTACTACTTAATTGTTAGATACAACTTATTCATAAGATACAAGTAGCTGTTTCAAAAGCAACTAATTCCGCTATTGTTACTAGTAACAAATTGTCATTGATTTGTACATGGATTTACAGTAAATATGAGGTTGCAGCTATTCAATTTTGACTATATATTCCAAATGTGACTTGTATATTCTTAGATACTGGTAGTTATTCATTTTACTAGTACTTTTTCTTAGATACCTATTTGTTAGATAGTATTTCATCATAAATTGTTAGTAGTTATTATTAGAAACTTACTCATTGGTAACCACACGGAATCTGCATGCGCAGAAATCTGCAGATTTTTAGCCCATCGTTGATTTTGTTTATTTACTGTAAATGTGTGTAAATTGATATTTATTCAGTTTTAAAATTAATTTTAGTAATATTATTGAGTAATATGAAAATATTTATATGATTTATTTACAATAGTTTGTAAAGTCATAGTTTCTGTCTTTTAGTAGATATATGAGAGACTTGCTTTGTTTACCAAATAAAGTGGATCTAATTGGATTTGCATTGTAAACATTAAATACAAGTTAAAAAGGTATTAATTTTTATTTCATATATTAAGGTTTTAGTTATGATACTTCCAATATAATTCTGTATAAATCAGCAGATTTTTGCCAAAATTCTGCGCAGAAATAGCAAAAAATGTCCATAGATTCGGTCTGGCTCTACTCATTGGATACTAGTACTGTAGCTGTTTCAAAAGTGTCAATTTGTCATTAACTTATAATCAGCTTTGTAATACTAATACTTATTGCTAAAACTGAACTAAAACTTATATTTTGTTAGCAAGATGGGAACACTTTAGTTTAAGTACCAATTAACTCTCTAAAACCTCTAAGTGCCATCTGTAATTTTCTTCTACAGTGAGCATTTTTCTCAGCCTCTTATGTTTACATTTAGTTATTTCATATTAAAAGCTATGAAAATAACCTATTCTTTGCCATAAAGGTAAAATTACTGAATCAGGACATAGGAGTCTAAAAAAATGCTAACGTGAGAAGAAAATTTCAGTTGGCACTTTGAGGTTTTTGCATCTGAACCCTTCATATGATCTTTTTCTACTTTCCATAATCTTATTCCATATCTAAACCCAACTAAACTTAACCCAACTTAACGATATTATCAAAACATTAACATACTATTAACTCAGACCTTTAGTTCAATAAAGTACTGATTTGCAGCTTATTAATAGATAGTAAGGTAGTAAACTAAAAATATCCTTAATTTACCAGTTTTCCATATTTTGTGATTCATTAGTGTTTTCCATTTATTTACGGTTGTGAATTACATTATGGGATCTTGATCTCGACTTTGATGTTGAAAATTCATCTCTACAGATTAACAAAGTGACTTTTTAGTAGTGTGAAATAATATGTATAAGACATAATATATAGACAAATAAAATCAAATAATGTACTTGCAGTTTATTACAAAGTTTTTGTACCATAATATAGTCTTTTTTTCAGGCAATTCACAAGCATATAATAAAAACATGAATCACAAAATACGTAAAACTGCTAATTCCAACTCATTCTGAAAATTTACCTCTATATACATTTCTGGAGAGCACCAAATACGTCCCAGGAGCTAAGTTTTTTGTTTGTTTGTTTGTTTTGTTTTTTTGTAGTTGTTTTTGCGAATCCACCAGAAGACTGAACAACTGATTGACCATTCGACTGACCCACCCTCCTCCTTTCCTAAACCCAACCAATAGTGTTTTCAAAAGCAATCCAGAAAATGGAAAAACTCTCGGCTGATTTTACTATGTTTTCTGATTTTACCACATTCTTACCCTGTTATTTACTTGTTTATATTATTTTTTGGCTTTTGTTTTTGTCTTACTTGCTTTCTGGAGCCATTCTTCACAGGACTCGAACCCCATCGTCATGGCCAACTCCTCTCCGCCGACGTACATGGCGAACTAACTGGACAAACTAGTAACAGCGAGAAAGCCGTCAATATGGAGGTAATCGGTCAGCTGGTAGGTCCAAAAAGGAACGTCATCATACCGCCCCTTAGTGTTCGTTTTAAAGACGAAATGCAGCCATACATACTTCTGGCTACATAATTCGCAATCTCCAGAAATTTATATCGGGCAACGTTTTCAGAATGAACCTATATTGACTAATTTATGGGTATTTTTACAGTGTACTACCTTACTAACTATTAATAAGCAGCAAATTAGTACTTTATTGAGCTAATGGTCTGAGTTAATAGTTTGATAATATTGTTAGTTGTAAATAAAGTGTCACCAAAAAATCTAAAGGATTACTTCAAACTATAGCCTCACATAACCAAATCTATATAGTTTATATTCTCAATATACTATATACATAGTGTTTTTAATCTAGAAACAGAAACAGACATCAAAAATAAATTATGTACATTGTTATTATTGAATGATTCATTTACATTATCAAATGCTGCCCTTTCCTAAGAATGAGCCCTGGAAATGTTAGAGAAGGCATTTACATAACCGGCTACCACAAACCAAATGCGGAAACAAACACATTTCAAACAGTGGAGGATGAATATTGAATCACACTAATTGTGTGTCTCTGGCAGGAAGCTGTTGGGAAATATGTAAAATCATCCAGTGTGGTAATGAACGCAACTGTAAGCAGATGAGCTTTGATTATGAGCTCGCGGGGAGCTTTCTGCCCATAATTTGCCGGGTTATGCTGCTGATGGAGCGTCCCGCTGAGAACACCTGGGTTAGAAGAGGAATCCTCCTGTGTGCTGCAGCCATCATTCATGCCTGCAATATTTTTATAAATAATCTCAGTCTCTCAACATCTCTCTCTTTCCTTAATTCAATACAGATCTCATCGGTGAGGCAACATTCAGACAAAATCATTGACTTGGGTTTCACGCAGCACTCACCCCCAGGTTATTGGCCCTCAAAACAGCCTTTAACGCCAGGTAAAGGAATACTTCACGCTTCAAAATTAGTTTCTGTGACCCTTTTTAAAACTAAAAAAAAATTACTTTACCCATTTACAGTATTTATAAGATTATAAACGATATTTGTTATTCTAAAAACATGTTTTTTTTTTTTTTTTAATCAATAGTGTCCCGGTTGCAAATTAATTGTTTAGTCTAAAGGCATGCGTGAGTACTTGACAACAATACTTTCTTTGACATCAGTACTGTGAACTCCTATCTGTTGTCTGATTGGACTTGCAGTAGTGGCCTCCAGCAGCAGTATGGGCTTCGCCAAAGACTGCATCAAGAGTGCAAAGGGGCACTGATGAGCTCACCACAAAAATTACAGATAGGACTAGATACGGACTTGTAAATTTAGCGAGCATGTGCCATTTTAAGTCTGTGTGAAATCAAATTTTACAATTTTTATTTTGCTAGCGACAAAGTTAGTAGTGAACAGTTAATTCCTAAAGTTAAATCCACACACAAAAAAATAATAATTTAGTCATCTTTAATCAAAGTTTGACCATTTGCTTCCACTTTTGGTGTGGAGGGTCTTCTTCGTGATGTCAGTTTGATGGCTCCATTTATTTATTCATTATCTTTCAGCTTAGTCCCTTTATTCATCAGGGGTCGCCACAGTGGAATGAACCGCTAATTTATCCAGCATATGTTTTACCCTTCCAGCTGCAACCCAGTACTGGTAAACACCCATACACACTCATTCACACACGAACACTACAGCTAATTTAGTTTATTCGTTTCACCTATAGCACATGTCTGTAGCCTGGGGGGAAACCGGAGCACCCGGAGGAAACCCAGGCCAACATGGGGAGAACCGGAAGAAACTGGGGGTATTTGCTGTGAGGTGACAGTGCTAAACACTGAGCAACCGTGTCACCTTGACAGCTTCAGCCACAATATTTTTAACCAAGTCCATCTTACCATTAGTTTGCTATGAGAAACTGATGCACAAAAAGAAATCCTGTCTCCAACTCAATATTCTGTTTTAGCTGGAGGTGCATCAACATACTGACATAAAAGTCTCAGCAACATCTGATTCATGCTGACTTTCAAGGCCACAAGACCGAAAGTCGTAGATTCAGAGTGTTTCTTTACAAAATGATAACCAAATCCATCTAAACAGATTGTTTTGACACCAGTGTTGATTATATATATATATATATATATATATATATATATATATATATATATATATATATATATATATATATGAGAAACATTTGGGTTTTTAGTATATTGTT